CCCAAAATGGGGTCGTGAAGAGTCAGACGTAAGTGAAATGACTGCACAACAGTAGCTAACACTTAGGCAGTGCTTCCTGCATGCTCTACGCACTCCAGTTATGTCCTTCTATCCTCTCAACAACCCTGGGAAGTAGATGCTATCATCCCCATTTTACAGTTGAGGAAACCGAGGCAGACAGGCGAAGTGACTTCATACAGCTACTAAGTGTCTGATGCTGGATTTGAACTCCAGTCTTCCTGATTTCAGGAAGGCACAAGAGTTGGAGGAGGATGGGGAAAGGCTTCCTGTAGAATGCGGGGTTTTATCTGGAATGTGAAGGCGGCCAGGGAAGCTAGGAGGCAGAGATGAGGAGGAAGAGCATTCCAAACACCTGGAGTCTGGAAATGAAGGCTCTTAGTCAGGGAATAACAGGGTAACCAGTATCCCGAGCCCCAAGAGTTGGTGGGGAGAGGTGGAAGACACGAGGAAGGGCCTGGAACACCAAGTAGAGGACGGAGCCCCTGAAGGGATGGAGCAGGGGTGGCAGCAGGGTGGGGTGAGATGGTCGCACTTTCACTTCGGGAAAGTGACCTGAGCAGCTGAGTGGAGGCGGAAAGTCTGGAGGCAAGCACGCCCACCAGAGGGTCATCGCCCCAGTCCAGGCATGAAGAGATGAGGAATTGCAGCAGGGGCGGCAGTGCCAGAGGAGAAAAGGGGGCATGTCCAAGAAATGGGATGAAGGGAAAATCAATGGGTCTTCACAACCCAGATTGGATGGGGGCGGGGGAGGCATCAAGGTCTTGAATCGGAGGACTGGGAAGAAAGCAGTACTTCCAAGTAATTGGGAAGTTTGGAAGGTGGGGAAAGGCTCCGGGATCAGTTTTGGCCATGAGTTTGAGATGGTCAGTAGGCGGCTGGAGATGAAAAACTGGAGGTCAGCAGAAGGGTTAGGGTTGGGTAAGTAGATGAAGAGTCATCAGCACAGAGAAGGCCATTAAATCCATGCGAGCTGATGAGATCCCCAAGTGAAATAGTATGGAGGGAGAAGGGAAGAGGGCCCAGGACAGAGCCCTGTGGGACACGCATAAGGTGGAAGGTGAGCTTTGGATGAAGGGCCAGCAAAGGAGGCTAAGGAGGCATGGCCAGGTAGGTAGGAGGACAGCCAGGAGAGAGGGACGTCCTGAAAACCTAGTGAGCAGGGGGCAGCTAGGTGGTGCAGTGGATAGAGCACCGGCCCTGGAGTCAGGAGGACCTGAGTTCAAATGTGACCTCAGATACATAGCTTACTAGCTGTGTGACCCTGGGCAAGTCACTTAACCCCATTGCTTAGCAAAAGACCAAAACAAAAGAAAACTGCAGAGAGGTCACAGTGGTGGAGAACTGAGAAAAGGCCATTATAATGATTTGACAGTGAAGAGGCTGTTAGTAACTTAGAGCACTTTGGGTTGAAGGATGAAGTCAGAAACCTGACGCTAGGGAGCGTGCAGGGAGTTGGGGAGATTGAGAGGAGGGGTATTGGAGGCATTTCCTGAAGATGGCCTTCTAGCTAGATGGGGCCACTGTGACCTGGAGACAGGAAGACTCAATACTAGTGATCCCAGGCAAGTCACTTCACCTCTCTGCCTTGGTTTCCTCAACTGAAAAATGGGGGTAATAATAGCAGTTACTTCCCAGGGTTGCTGTAAGGATCAGATAAGATAATGTTTAAAAGATGCTTAGCACAGTGTCAGGCACATGGTAGCTGCTTCATAAATGCTTTCCCCTTTCCTTTCCTTCTTAGTGATTTAGCCACAAAGGGCAGAAGAGATGGCGGACAATAGTTATAGGGGATGGAAGGATCAGGTGAGAGTTTTTTGAGGATGGGGGAGACATGGGCATGTGTGTAGGCAGTAGGGAGAAAGGCAGTGGTCAGGGAGGGTGGGGGTGACAGAGGGGAGCAATCTGCTGGAGGAGATGGGATTGCTTGGGCAAGCAGAGGGTAAGGAGTAAGACACTTCATCAGAGACAGGAGTGAAGGGACAGAGTGAGAACAGGTATCCCAGTGATGTGGGGGAGGGGAGAAGGAGAAGACAGGAGCTCCCAGGAAGTGGATGGCCTCGAGTTTTTTCCGGTAAAATATGAGGCAAGGTTTGCAGTGGAGAGAGTGGGGGGAGGGGAGCCATGGAAAGTCTGAGGGGGTCTGAGGTTTGGAGGAGCCCCTTCGGGGAGTGGGAGAGAGACTGAAAAGCAGTTGGGGGCTTCCTACTATGAGGCCACCAGGGCTCTGGGGGTAGAAACACCCATCTAGATGTCATGAAATGAGTGGGCTTCCTTCCTTCCCTCACGTCTGGTTTTGCCCTGGGTTTCTACAGGAAAGCCACCATTGCTGCGGTTGCCGCCTTCCCTAGGCTGGGAAAGCGCACTTGTATCTTTGACGTGTGCTCAGGTAGCTAGCTGTGCGTGAGCGCCTGCAATTCCCCGCTGCTCTCGTCCCAAGGCAGCCTTACCAGGTTCTAGCAGGTGGAAACTGCATTAGCAGGAGAGTCTCCCTCCCACAGAATGCAGAAGAATGGCAAACAGGCAAAAAGCTACCTGTCTCTTTGGTAGTGGGCACAAAGGGGTGGTTCCTATGACAGGAGTTAGCCAACCACCTTAGGGGAGGCCCCAGCCCCTGGCAAATGCTGCTCTTAACAGGGTGCCATTGGCATCTCTCCAGTGGGAGAGACGGGGGGGGGTGTCTCCCACCCCGCCCCCTCCCAGTGACCACGCATCGTCCCCACAGCATGGTCAGAAGATCTCGCGTCAAGGGGAGCATCCGGGGATATTTAGAGATGAACAGCAAAGCGGACCGGTTAGTGGAGACCCAGCCAGAGTTATACTGGGCACAGCTGCCGTATCTGTGAGGTGTGCTGTTAACAGAGGCCACTGGGCATGGCTGTACGGGACAAAGACCAGGAAGCCCCAGTTAAGCGCCCCCACAACTCCGTATCCGCCAACTGCCCGGCTCAGAGCGCTCCAGTACCTGATAAGTGTGCGGGCGCCACTGAAGCAGGAGGGCAGCTCACAACCCCTCCGTGGCTGGGAGCCAAGAAGAGCCCCACCCAGAGCCGGTCTCCTCCGGTGACGAGCTTCTCTCCATCCGGCTGAGCTGTGGTCAGACCGTGGAGTCAGGACCCCCGGGGGCCACACTCTCGCCTGCCCGCCCCACCAGGGACGGCGAGGAATGAGCTGCCTTTGGGGTCAGATGCCCTGGCTCTGCCTGGGAACCCGATCTGGCCTCTGCTGCAGCCCAGTCTTTGGGAGCAGCTCTTACAGAGCGAGCTTGTCCTGCCCCGTCTTAGCACCTTCTACCAGTAGCTATCAGTTTTGCCTTCTGGGGGGCCAAAGTAGAGCGAGCCGCTCCCCCACCCCGCCCCCACAAGTAGTGGTCCTCAGCCCACACTCAAAGCTGTGCCCCCCCTCCCACCTTCTGGAGGCGGGGTCCCCTCCCCCGTCGCCGCAGGCTCTGGGTGTGAGTGCAGGCAGTGTCCCAAGAGGCCCCGTAAATATCTGATTTGCTTGCTTGGTTTCTCCCCCCACCCCTATCCCCTTTCCTTCCTGCCTCCCATCTCCTTTACTTCTCTCTCAAGCCTGTGAGCAGTTTGCAGAGATCACCCTGGGAGAAGCGAGGGGAGGGGGGCAGCTGCAAGGCTCGCCACGGGGGCGGGCCTCACTCGGCTGCCCCCAGCTTCCTGCTGGGGTGGGGGCCGCTAGGCACTGCGGCTGTGGCTCTTGCCGCAGTGTGGAGGGGGAGGCTGACGTCAGCGGAGCTGGCGCAGGCGGGCGGGCGGGCGGGCTTGGCCCCGCTTCACTGCGGCTGGCCAGGCCTGGGCGGGCACCTGGAGCAGATGTTTCCTTCTGGCCCTGGTCCCAGAGGCTGGCGATTTGCGATCGGTGGCAGGAGAGAGGTGAGCCTGCCTCTCCTCCCCAGAAGTAGCCACGTTAACCTGCTCGCTTTCCCCGAGCTGGGCCAGGCGGCAGTCTCCAACACCTGTCTCTCCCTCAGGACGCCACTGCCAGGCCTTCTGCGCTCGGGACAGGCGGGGCTCGGGGGAAGCCGGTCCTGCGGGAGATGCCCAGCGGCTCTGCTGAACGAAACTGGTCATTACCGAGACACGGCAAGATGGCGGCGAATCTTCAAGAGAATCAGGATCTTCCCTCCCTCCTGGAAGATCCTGCTCGGGCTTTTCCCAGAATCATCCCCCCCCCCAGGAGCCCCACCCACACCCTCTTCTTTAGCTCCTCATTTTGTCTCATTTCTTTCTCAACATGCAAATGTGGCCACCACATTACAGCCCCACTAAGCCAAGCACTCCACAGGGAAGGCGCACTGGGCCAAGGAAGAAAACCCGAGCAAAATTCCTCGTGTGCCTCAGTTTCCCCCTCTGGAGATAAGCCCGTGGCTGCCTACCACTCAATTTGAGAACTCCTTTCTAGGGTTCTGGAACTGGCGTATTCAGGAATAGACTCACCCTGCAGAGACCCAAGGACTCAGGGGCTTAGGAGCTCGAGCTGGTGGGTGATGCCAAGCAATCTGGGACACCCGGGCCAACCTGGCGACCTGCCAAGGGAGCCGAGCACGTCTGGGACATGACTAAAGAAGGAGACCCCGAGAGCAGCGTCCACAACGCTGCTGCCCTCCTAAGTGGGGGTGGCCCACCCTACCCAGCACTTCCCGCACAAGCCCAGTGCCCTCAAAGTTGGCAGCTTCAGGCCCACTCTAGGCCCAAGGCTTTGCCTCGGGAAAGCATGTGAAGACGGGCATGGCCACCAGCTGGTGCTCCAGCCCCCGCCAGGTCAGAGCACCCACTGCTGGCTATCCTACCTTCCTCCTTCACCCGGCTCTCCCTGACATACACCATGCATACACCATGACAGGCAGAATTTTAAAAACTGTTCTTTTATTCAATCCCCCAAACAAACGAACAAACAAAAAAAGCCCCCAATACCCTCTACCCTCCAAGAACCCTTACCTAAATAAAAATGTCCCATTAGAGTTCTTTTCCATCTTAAAATTTATTACACAAATATTTCCCATCCCGATAATATCCAGAGCAAAAACGGTCTTGCTCTTCTCTAAAACCAAGGGCGGACGGGTTGGAAGAAAGGAGGCCAGGCCCAGCGAATGGCTCTCCTTCCTCGCCTGCCCTGCCCTCAAGAACCCCGAGGTGTCAGTGGAGATGCCAACGACGTCTTCTTATCCCCTTTAATGCTTACATTTAATTTAAATTTTTAGCACAACATCGGAGATTGACTCTAAATCAGCAACAAAAAATAGATATTTACAATATTTCTCCGGGAAAACAAAAAGCACAACCAAACCCTTTAAACATAGTGACTTTAGGAGTTTTATTTATGGAGCAGTTATTTTTAATCACCAAGTGATTTTATATTATATATATATTTATATATATATAGAATTTTTCTTCCTTTCCTTTGTGGTTCTCACCCCCGTGCTCAGAAAGGTGGAGGCAGGAGGCGGGGAGCCTCTCCCTGCTGTCTCCGGAGCCGTGGACTTCCCTGGGGAGGTTGTGTCTAGGAGCAGACTGCAAGTATTGCAACTGAAGTCACCATTTTTCCTCCCCGGCCCCAATGCAGGAACTCAAGAACTGCCACCACCAGCACTGCAGGGAGTGACCCCATCCCCTCTAAAAGCCACCGTCCCCTCCCTTCTCCTCCAAAATGAAAGCAAACCCCAGCAGGGGGAAGCCAGGTCCGTCTGCTGCGGCTTGTGGGCTCCCATTTCTGTGCACGGGAAAAATGCTTCCATTTTTCCAAGCTGAAAATGAAAAATCCCCAATCGGCTTGGAAATTTCTCTTCAGGTGAAAATGTCCCAAAGTCAGAGGCACTCTCCCGGCACAATCCCTGCTGTGAAGGGGTCTCTCCACCTCCCCTTTTACAAAAAAGGCAAAAAACAAACAAACAGTAAGTCTTCTTTTCAGTATTTTCCACAGGAGCAACCAAACAAGGCAGGAAGCTTCCAATTACAGGTCATTAGCAATAATAATATTAATAATACAGGTTTCTGCTCAATACCCAGGGTTCTTTACAGAGAAGTTCCCCTACGGAGGCACTCTGGAATCAAGTCCCTGCCATTCCCTCTGCGTCTAGCCCCGTGCCAAGGGGGCTGGGGCCTGGGGGTCAGGGCCGAAGGGAGCACGCCCCTTGGAAAGCACAGCCCGGATCACGAGCACATCTGCCAGAACATCCCCGGCTGCCATCTCCTACCCACTCCCGCCCCGAGACTCATTTCTTTTTTTTTTTTTTTCTGGAGATTGAAGTCAAGGCCAGGAGTCAAAACTGGGGTAAGTGGCCACCATGGGAGTCCCCTCTGCCCACTACAGCTTTGGAAAGAGCAAGGGTGCGCCTGGCGCCTGGCTTGGGCTGCTGGCCTTGCCTCCTCGTCCCTTCCCCGAGCAGGGCGGCGGTCAGGAGGAAAGCCCGGGACCAGGGTCTAGAAAGGGAACTGAAGGGCAGCTGGGAAAGAAGAGGGGAGAAGGTTGTGCTATCAACATCCTTACCGATTGGGGAGCAGAGTGCAAATTTGCGTATAACATTTATAAGCTCTTGCCACAGGCAGCTGCTGTGAGCACCTCCTCTCACTTCCATATTGACCCAAAAAGGAAATCACGACCTTTTTTTTCCTTTCTTTTTAAAGTGCAAAAAGCTCTCTGCTGCCCTAGAGAGGATCTTTGGACCAGCCTGCTCAATGCAAAAGAATGGGGGGGCAGCTGCCGGGGTGTAGCAGGGAGGGAGCACACACTAACCCCAGGCCTCCCCAAAGCCTACACAAACAGGCACATGCAGACCACCCCCTCCCTCCCTGCCCCTGGTCTGGGGGTCCAGGCTGAGGGCAGGTACCTAGCGGCTGTGCAGGGGGAGAGCCAAAGCGCAGTATTTCTCTAAGCTGAAGAACAAGGATTGAGTCACCAGACTATACACAAAGACAAGACCCTCGCAGGCCGTTGGAAGAGCAGGGACCCGGCCTGGTCCTCATCCTCCCCCCACCCCCCACCCCCCAGCTCTGTGGAAGCCTCATGCTCCCTCCAAGCACACACACCCAGGGTAAAGCCCTCTTCAGAAAAAGAGAGAAAAAAGCATCTTGGGGGAACAGGGGAAGAAGAGGAGAGGGGCTTCAGCAGGGGGACCTTGGGGCTGGAGCTTGGCCCAGGAGTCCTGCCCCCCCCCCCAGCCCCCCCATGGCTGCTCTGGGCTGTGGCTGAGCGACAGCAGCTCTCAACAGAGGCGGCCCTGGCACGTCCACAGGGCAGCAGCTGAGTAAGTGCACAGCCACGTGACACGGACTCAGGGCAAAGTACAGGGAGATGGTGTTTGTGGAGCTATGAGCCTTGGACAGCGTCAAGCTGCAGAGGGTGGGGACAGACACAGAGGAGGTTTCTGGAAATTCAACAGCACCAGTGTGATTGCAGGGTCTGGCCTTCCCGTGGCCAGTGCCACCACCTGCATAAGCCAGGAAGAGCCTGACGAGGGAGACACCACTGAACACCCCAGGGCCCCTCTCTGCAGCAGAGCAAGCTGCTTCCTTCCCAGGGACAATGCTCAGCCCGGCCCTGCTGGGAGAGGGTGGCCTAGGGTGGGGCAGGGGGCTGTGCTGATTAAGCTGGCATGGCACCCCCAACCATGAGCTTGGTCTCCAAGTGAGCACCTCGACAGCACCTCCTGTGATTTTTTCCCTGTCCCTTTTCCAGCAGAGGGAGGGAGGGAAGGAGAGAAGGGAGCAGGTGGGTCATCCCTGTGCTCGGTCAGAGTAGGGCTGGGCAGCAGGAACACCTATCCTGCTGTGCTGGAAGGGGACAGGGACGGGAGAGCAAAGGGAGGGGGAGGCCGGCCTCGAAGCCCGTGCAGAATGTGGGGAGCGGCTCTCCGCGGTGGGAAGTGGGAAGGGGGTTTCTGTTTCCTGTTCAATCTGGGGCTGAGTGGGCTTTAGCTGATTTTCTGGATCAACTTCTCATCAGACAGGCAGTAGAGGCTGTTGATGGACAGGTCTGAGATGAAATGCTCACAGGCCTTCCGGGTGATCTGCTTGCAGCCTCGAAGGTCAATCAAGGTGACATTAGAGATGCGCCGTAGATACAACAGGGACTGGTCTGTCAACTTATTGCAACCTATGGACAAAGAGAGGTATGAGTGCAGCCCTGCAGCCCTACCACCCCCCCCCCACCACAGCAGCAGCCCAGATGAGCCAAAGCTGCCTCCATCACTCGCCGAGTGAAATTCAGGCTCCACCCTGCTCTCTCCCAACAGGCCCCTGCCTCTTTACCGCCCAGGAGCCCTGAGCACGTCCACCAGCTCGGCGGGCACTCGTCCCAGGGGAAGCCCCAGGCTGACCCGAGCCCACGGCCGTACCTGCCATATTGATTTCCGTGAGGGAGTTGCGTGTGGAAGAGCCGACGGCCGTCAGCAGATTGGACGACTGATCGGTGAGGTGGCTGCAGTGACTGAGGTCGAGCCGAGACAGAAGCGGCATATGACGGATGATGAGGCGGAGGGTGGCGTCAGTGATGTCCAGGCCGGCCAGCCGAAAATCAGTCATGTTTCGGAGCTTGCTGCGATTGTCCTGACCTACGGGAACATGAGGGGCTCCAAAGTTTCAACCCTGGGCCCAGGCACAACCAAGAACTCTCCCCCCACATAACATGCGCCACCACTAGGGTGTTAAACTAAGATCCTCCTCACGGCCCACCCCAACATCTCGACAGATTCCTGAAGCCTACCTCCAGCAGAAAGCCTTCCCAGAATGTCCCCAGCTATCTTCTGCCCCATTGAGAGCCTCAAAACCATGGTTTCTTTGTATACAAATGTTTACTTGTGTAGACTTAAATCTACGTCATCTCTGAACTGTGTTTATCAGCACATGATGCTGTGCAGATCTAAGCCAAGAGGCCCTTTTAATGAAGAGGCTTTGAATCTGGGGCCCGAGAACTTATTTTAACAATACAGTGACAGTTGGTTTCCTTGGTAATCTTACATATTGTATACATTTAAAAACATGATTCTGAGAAGGGTCCACGGGCCTCAGGCTGACCTGCTTGAGTGCTCTCCCCCATTAACTATGATTCACAGTCACTGCCTCCTTTCTAGGGGTCATAAGGCTGGAGGCCCAAGGAGATCAATGCCTACCAGGCTTATCAGTCGGTGGGGTCAGCAAATCTCGAATCTGAGGGTCCTTGATCCCTACGGCCCACCGAAGGTCCAGGGTCCTGAGAAGAGGGCAGCTGGAGGTGCTGAGAGCAGAGACCGCAGACCAGGAGCAGCCTGCTAGGAGGAGATCTTTCAGGCCTGCAAGAGACCAGGGGATCGTTTCAGACTCAGGCTTCCCCTGGGGGGGCCATCAGGGCAGGGCTGGCCCCAGCTCTCAGCTGGATGCCCGCTCAGGGAGGGGCCTGGAGAGATCTCTCCCAGAGCAGGAAGATGCTGAAGCAGAGGCTGTCCATCTCACACTCGAGGGCTGCAACCCAGAGCCACCCCCCGGCCGACCCCAGCCCACTCACCGGGGAGCCTGTTGACAAGCCAGGTCAGCTGCTTCTTGGAAATGTTCGTCCAGCTGAGGTCCAGGCTGACCGGCTGTCTCTTGATGATGCCACTCAGGGCCTGGGGGACGATGGCCTTGCACCTGCTCAAATCGATCTTTGTCCAGAGTCGCTTGTCACAGCACCTGGAAAAGGTGAAGATAACCAACCCCCAAACGTCAGCCCCTGCTGCCCCCCGAGGACACGCATCCTGCCACGCCTCTCCTCACTGGCGCTACTACGGACTCTTGCCCCGCGATGTCCTGCAGGAGTCTGCTGGCCCCCAGGGGCTTTGGGGGAGCAGTCATTTGGGTAACAGTCTCTCCTATGGCTCCGCTTCCTAGGGCAACCACTCTTTTTGTCCCTCTGTCCACTCCGAGGAGTGGGAGAAACCTACACTGGCCAGGAATGTGCACACAAAATCAAGTCACCTGGGGCTTGGGAGCTGATCTTTTTCAATGTTTCTGTAAAGGAAAGCTTTCCTTCCCTCGGGATGTTGAGGGGAGCATTTGAACATTTCTCCTGAGTCCCTCTGGGGCTGTCACTTCAGGCTTCCGAGGTGCTCATCACCACTCGGGCGGGCCTGCCTCAGCCCCCTTGCGCACAGGCCGCGGCCGGCCGGTGCCATGGCCACGACTGTGGCTGAGCAAGGTCGCCTCTGCTCACTCCCTCTGTAGGGAGGGGCCTGGAGGCCTCTGCGCTGTCTGATGAGGAGTCCGTCAGACTCCCTGGCTGCCAGGACCCCACCCACTCTTGGCCTTGGCTCCAAGGTGAGCTGGGAGTGGCAATGGGGAAGCTGTGGGCATGGCGTGTCTGGGAGCGAGGAGGAAGGGTTACACACAGAGGGACACCGAAATAGCTTTCTCTTGCTCCTAATGCAGCTTGACAAAGAGACAGGCAACGAATGTCTCAGGACCAAGGATGGGTTACTGGGGTTTGGGGCAAAGAAATCAGTACCAGTTTGCCAAGGGACCATATTTTACCTTGTGGGAATAAGAAGGTGGTTTCTTTGATTGCCCATCATTCTGCCTTTAGACTCATCTAATTATTATGCTAAGATCACTAAAAAAGAAAAGAATCTTCATTTGGACAACCTTGGTTCACAGGAACCACAGTCATCAGAAAACCAAAGAGAAATGGAGGCTCAGCAGCTCTGCGCAAGACTGATGTTTCCAAGTAGGAATTACTGAACATGAAACAGAAGGCATGGTGAAGATGAGGACCCATGAGGTTATTAATTACATTTAAATTACTGAGAGAAGATGGGCACAGATGTTTTCCTGTGAATAGCCTTTGAATTAAGAAAATCTAAATACAGACTTCTGCTAATTTGTCCAAGCTGGTGCTGGTGAAGGGAGGTTTCTAGCTAGGAGACAAGGTGGCCTTAACAGAAATTCTACGAACCTGTCCCTCGACTCATTCATTCATTCCATTCCCAGTAAAAAGAGGACTGGGACAGAGGAAGCAGAGGGGAGGAAGGCAAGAGGCAGCCCAAGTCCCTTCTCCCTTCCCTGACAACCCAAAGACCCAATGAGCTCTACTGCTGGTAACACTGGCCGCTGGCAGGAACCAGACCTGGCCCTGAGAGGCGGGAGCTTTCTGATGGGGTCGTCCTTCCCAAAGAGACCAAGAGGACTGCACTGGAAACCAGAAAGTGAAGGAGAGAGGCAAAGGGAGAGAGAATTCTCCCCTCCTCCCACCCCACGGGCAGCACCGGCTCTCCGGCCCCCTTCCTGCCATGCTCACCATTTATACCACGTCTTGCACACCCGCATACATTCACAAAGTTCTCTGCGGCTGAGGTAACGGAAGACAGACATCCAGACCTCCCGCTGCATCCAGCTCTCCTCCCCGTCCTGTGCCCAGCCGCCCCGGCCGTTCAGTCTGGCTGCCCCGCCCTCCTCCGCACTGTCCTCCTCCTCCTCGTCCTCGTCGTCCTCGTCCTCCTCGGCGGCCAGGCCCTCTTCGTCCCCCCGCTGGGGAGCTCGCGTGGGGCAGTGCTGCACCAGCACTCGGGGAGAATGGCGGAGGTTCGTGGAGGAGGCCGTGATGGCCTGCAGCTTGGGCACGATGGATGTTCCGTGCAGCTCCTTGGCGGGCCGCTGCAGTGTGACCGTGAGGTAGGACCCCCGGATTTTGGCCTTCTCGACTTCGGAGAGTTCCTTCTTACCACTGGGATTGTTCTCCTTTTCTCGCATCATCGTGCGCTCTGTGGCCTGAAGCCGCAGCAGCTGCCGCCGTTTGAAGCGCTCGTCCCGGCTGGCGCTGTGGTGGTCACTGGGACCGGCTCCCGGGGAGGACCGGGTCACCACGCCTCGAGGGGACACTGGGTCATGGATGAGCTGCAGCATTGTGGTAGGCGAGTGAGGGGGGGGCGTGAGGGGCTCGTCGCAGCTCCGCAGGGGCCGCAGGACTTTGGCTTGGACCACATCTTCATCGCTGTCGTCCATCTTACGCTTCTGCAAAAGAGGCCCAAGAAAAGGCAGTTAGTGCCTGCTCTTTCCGAACCTCCCTCAGGTGGCCTTAAAGGGACCCCAAGGAAGATTCTCCAGGTGCTCGGACAAGTCCTCTTGGTTCTAATGAGCAGCCGTTGCCTGGGCGCCGGGCTCCAGCCGTCTCCCCAGGACAAGGCCAGCTCTGTTCCACGCTGTGGGCGGGCAGGCGGGCCAGCCTCCCGTGCTAATGCAGCACCTGTCAGTCCCAAGCCCAAATTCGCCTGCTGTTCACCTCCTTCAGGTTTCAAGAGCTCCAAATGAGCAGACACTGCACCTGGCCCCCAGCAGCAGCAGTGAGGCTGCTACTGGATGGAACTCTGCCCAGGGTCAAAACCTGAGCCTGAGAGCCAACGGGACAGACTCTGGGCCCAAAGCTTCCAAGGCTAAACCCATCTACCACAGCTTCTCAAGAACTCTGGCTTTCCCTGGACAGATGGCACTGGGGTGAACCCTCACACTAAAATCAAAACTTTGCAGCGTGGGAAAAAACCTCGCTCTGCAAGCAATCTTCAGGGTCTCTCCTCCCAACCTCAAGGCCACAGTGGCCAGAGGCTCAGGTCCAGCTTGGTGAGAAGGCAAGATTATAATGCAGCTGACTGCAATCCATCACACAGAACAAGAAACGATAAAAATAAAGGTTCCTCACAGTTAAGCTACCCAGGTTTGACCCCAACTGCCTCCTAACGCAGCCCTCTTCCATCCTATGGGGACGGTGGGAGCTCTTAGGGAGGACACGTTTGTCTTCCTGGCCTGGTCAGGCCTGGCTGCCCAGCTCTTCTGTGCTGGGTCACAGCACAGAAGGGCTTCCCTGCCTAGGGCACGTTCTACAAAGGCCATATTAAGGGGGATGGCCAGAATGGGAGCTCACTGGACTGGAAACTCAAGGGTACCATTCTGAAGGCCACGTCTCAACCACATCTGACCCTTTCCCTTTGTAGGTACCTTTGGACTCCTCAAATAAGCTGGGCCTCCAGCCCCTGCTATGACCACGTTCCTTCTAATTCCAGAACAAGCCCAGCTGCAGAAAGGCACTTGAATGAGGGTGCACAACAGTGCAACCACATGAATATAACAATTTAAAGGGGTGTGGGTGTGTGTGTGTTCAGGAGTCCCTGGAGAGGGAAGAAGCCAGGGTCTGGGCCACTCACCTGCACCTTCTCCGAGGTGTCCTCCTGGTAGCACTTTGGGCACTCCCAGCAATTAGGCAGCTCATCATTGAGCAGCCCTTCTCCATCCATCTGCAAACACAGGCAGGGGTCACTCACCACCCTTTAACCCTGCCTCTTTTCCAATTATCATAGGATTGGGAGTGACCTCACCAAGTCTCCTATTCAGCAAAGTATAATATTCTGGTAAATGCTGTTAGAAAGATAGTATCACTTTTGCTGAGCCAAGAAAGTACTAGACAACAGTGAGGACACAGACCTAGAGATCTGACCACCTTCCAACTGCTGGTTGTTTTGTAATCTGCTCAAGTACTGGAGATCATGGTTGGGACACACAGAAGAGCTGGACCCACTTCCAATCTTGGCCTTTTCCACCACATTTCTCCTCCCGTGGGTATGACTGGACCACAGCTGGGACATTCTATTCGATTCTGGGTGATATAGGTTGAGAAGGGCCCCAACGAGCTGGACAGCCCCGTTAGCTAGTCAACCAAGGAGGACATGTAGATTACACACGAGGACTGAGTTAGGGAGATTTACCTCGGAAGAGACAAGATTTAGAGGGATTTTATGTATTTGAAGGTCTACCTTGAGGAAGAGAAGTTATCCTTATTTTACTGGCCAAAGAAGGGAGAACTAGGGGCAGTGGGTAGAAGATAAAGAGTCAGATGCAGCTGGGGAACCTTTAGAAATGTTTAAAAGCGAAATGGCTTGGCTCTGAGCGCAGAGCCTCCTTCATTGGAAGACTCTGAGGAGACGCCCAGTGACCATTCGCAGGGATCGTTAGAGGGAATTCCCGGGCACTAGTGCTTTTGGAGGGCCTCCCACCCCTGAGATTCTCTGCCCTAGGTCCCATTCTGGCTCCCTAGTTTTCTGCTGCCATTTTAACTGGATCTCAACATTTGAGGGGGTATCGCTGTTCCCAGGTCCCCATTTTTCCAGCCAGGAACACCATTCCAAGAGGGGAAATGGCTAACTTGGATCTGACCTCAGTCTCTAGGATATACGACTGAATGGTTAAAGACCCAACAGGAGGTAAATCACAGAGCCTTGAGGGCTGTCCCAGTGCCCATGGTGATGGTGTGTAAGCCTGTCCCCACAGGAAGTGACTCCAGATCACCTCTATTCTCCACTAGTACACCGATGCCCTCCATCTGAAATGGCCCCTTATTCCTTTGTTTTGCCCACCTCCCAGGATCCGAGGAGCAGGGGCTTTCTCACCTGCAGGCAGCCAGGATGAACGATCTCATTGCAGATACAACATTCCATGAGTTTCTTCTCAAAGTCCTGGGTTTCCTCATTCTGATCCACCTCTCCACAGAGAGAGCACGTGACCGAATGAGGTAGTCGGGGCTAAAAGAGAAGCGAAGACAGAAATCAGGGAGAGTGCAGGCCTGCAGTTAACTCAGCTTCCTAAAGGCCTCTGGCCAGCTTACGAAGGGCAAGGAAGGTCAGGGGAAGTAAAAAAAAAAAAAGATGCAGGACAATCACCAGGGCAGGGTGGGTGGCAGCAGCAGATGAAAGCCTGAGTCGGTGACACCCCTTTCTGACCAGCATAGACCCAACCGCCCCCCACCCCCCGCAAGAACGGGGTGCACTGTGGATGACAGAGTAAGAAGGCAACCCCAAATGCCTTCTCTTTCAGCTTCTATCCCTCAGCTGAGGCTCCTGAGGCGGGACAAAGCCTCCTCTGCAACTCTACCCCAGAGCCTCAGACAGTCTCTTCCCCACAGCAAGGTGGAACACTCACTGCCAAACACTGGCGAAGGACACACGACTGCTTCATGCGACCAGGCCCTCCGAACTTCTTCATGTCCCTGCAGTAGTGGCACACGCCACATTCGCCTTGGACACAGGCCTTGCACTTGCGGCATCGAACCCTCCGCCGCCGGGCTCCTGAGACGATGGGCGAGGCGGCGGGCCTTACGGGGGTCAGTCGAGGAGCAGGCTTCATGGTGTGAGGCTTTGTGATGGGAATGGTGGGGACCCGCACCTTGGGCCGTGTGGGGAATTTAAGCTGCAAAGAGAACGTGGGCAGGCTAGCTGGACCCAGGAGCTTTCCTCAGGGAGATGCTTTCGCAGATAAATTGCCTCCCCTTCTTAGCCTTCAAAACTCTGAGCCTCATCTACTGCAGGTCAGGGAGACCCGGGAGTCAAGCCCTCCCCCTAACACCTGCAAGCTGCTCGACTCCGTCATGACTTTGCCCCTTAAGTCACTGAAACTCTCTCTGCTTCAGTTTCTTCCTCTGTAAAATAAAGGTAGCATAAAGGACCTACCTGGCACAGGGGTTGTGGATATGTACAGTGTAAAGTACACTGCAACCATGAAGGCTGGGACTGTCTTAATCCGTGCCATACCCAGAATATTTCACATTTAAGCTCTAACATGTGCCAGACACCCTCTAACACAAGGGTGGGGGCAGTGAGGGAAAGGTGAAATTACAGGGGAGGGGGGGGTGGTGATGGCGCTGCAGATGAAATCAGTTCCCAGGAAAAACATGGGACGGGTGGGGGTGGGGTACAGAGTTGGAAGGGGCTGGCTGAAGGCATGACAGGAAATGATGGTGAACCAAGGTCTGGTGGGCTGGGACTGGGACACTTGTGTACACATGTATGCATTTGTATTTATTCTGTTAACTTTTGTTTTAAGGACAGAAGCCATTTGACTTCCTCTAACTCCCTACTGTTCCTAAAACAGGACTGTGCACATAGCATGGACAAAACAACCCAGGGTGACTGATCAAGCTTGGGGTAGGGGGGAGAGAAGACAGGCATTTATATAGCACCTAATGTATGCTCAACAGTGTGCTGAGCACATTTCCCCTGCAAAAAATTATCTCACTTGATCCTCATAACTGTGGAAGGCAGATGCTGTTATCATCACAATTACAGTTGAGGAAACCAAATCAGACAGAGATGAAGTGACCTGCCCACGGTCACTTAGCTGGTAAATGTCTGAGGCCAGAGCTGAACTTAAGTCTTTCCTGACTCCAGGCTCAGCGCTCTACTCGCTGTACCCTAACCTGGAAGCTGCCAACTTTTAGTCGTGGGTCTTTATGCTCAGTGTTGGCTCCCCACACTCTACATGTCAGCTGTATTTCCAGGGTCACAATTAGGAGCAGAAGGACTGTCACTTTAACCACAACATGCTCGAGGCTTAGGATCAGATGGGAAAACAGGATTTTAGTGCAGCCCTGTCTGCCTCTACCAACCGAAGGGAGCAAACTGTTTATGGGCGTCACAGGTTCGTGACTGTTTTTCTTCCTTTTCACTAAACTAAAAAATGAAGGAAAATCTTAAGTGACAGTGACCTTATGACCACAAAAAAAAAAAAGCACCTCACCCACTCTGTGAACAACCGCACCACCCCTAAAAGGCTCACTAGACTCACTGAACACCCCAGGGTCAGAGTTCAAGCACCCTGGCCTAGGAGTGTCCTTGGGGAAGCACTGCTGGTAAGGGCCAACTAACCCAGAAACAGAACTTGAGCAGAACTGGGGTGTGCTGGCAGGCAGCAGCTCTGGCCCCCAGCCATGAGAGCTCCCTGCTGTCCCCCCCCCCGAAAAGCCCGAAGGTGGCCAGAATCTCTTACCTTGTCCCTCTTGGGCCACTGTACTATGGGGACTCCAGTGAGGGCTAACTTGGGATCACTGTGGGAGAGCTCCTCTAGCAGTATCTGTGAGAAAAGACGAGAGAAAAGCAGAGCAGCGTGAACAAGGGCCAGGGCTCCCCCGCAGAACCCCTCGAGTGCCAGAGCGTGAGGGCAGAACTCCTCAGCCCACTGGCGTTTCTTCATCCTCTCTCTCTGGCTGCTGACTGCAGAAGACCACCAGAGGCAGCACCGTCACTGAAACTCAGTCTAACGCAGCGCACGGCCGACACAGGCTCTCTGCTTACCTCCTCCTGCTGGTCAGCTGCACTGAGCCAGGAAGGGAGCGCTAGGGAGCCCGGCACCAATGCATTCCTCTAAGGGAGGGCACTCTCTGATGTCCTCCCACCCCTCCTTTACAGAGACATCCAGCAGCCAATCACGGCCTCCCTTCACAGGGGCTGGGGGGTGGAGGATGACAACAGTGACACACCAGTAGAAGGATATATTGCCAACAACAGTACTGGGGCGCTAACCCTTGAGGGTCTCATACTTTTTGAGGATCAGGAGTCCTTTACGCTCTCAGTAATTACCAAGGACTCCCCCTCTCACCACTGCCCAACAGCCTGAATGTGGGCTATTGATATCCACCACATTAGAAACAGAAATACCTTAGTAACTGTGAGGAAAACAGTTCTGACCTTGTGGACCCCTGAAAGGTTCTTGGGGACTCTAGGGGTCCCTGGGCCCCCTTTTTAAGAACCATTGCTCTCAAGGTCAGAACACAGACAATAAATATTTAAAAAGAACAAAGGAAGACAGAAGTATTATGTGTTCCCCTCCACCTAGCACCAGTCCAGGGGTAAATGATTCAGGAGACAATGCTACTGAAACCCATCTAGGGCAGATTTACGTGTGCCTTTTTTTCCGAGATGTTTGAAACAAACGCTGTATCAACACCCAGATACAAAAATCCTGAGACCAAACCCATCCAGCAGGTGAAAGAAGATCTTTGCTTTGCTGACCTCATACGCCCAAAGGCAGTAAGTGAACACTGAAGAAAGGCGGCTCCCTTCTTCCCCCCCCCCACGCCACGGGCGTCCAGGCCTCTCTCCTGTCTAACAACTGCTCTCTAGATTTCCTGAAGCAAGGACGAGCTCCAGGCTGCAGCTGACCCAGACCACAAAGCCCCCAGAGCTGGTGCCTGGCAGAACCCCCTCACCCAGGAAGCTCCCGACAAACATTTCCCAGGCCAAGTCTCCAGATGCTTCTTACCCTCCCCCAAACTGATTCCATTTGCAGACGTGTTTTATTTACTTCATGTTGCTATGGCATCATATTCAGGAGCCTCGGGTTAGCACCACACTGTGTAGGGGTGAGGAGGCGGGGTGCTGGTGCCACGTGGGACAAGGCCCAGGGCTAGGCTCTTCATCTCCCCAGGGGGAAAAAATTAAGATCCATTGAGAAGGTGGCTGGGGAGCGACGGGCGCTTCCCCTCCCCAGCCCTCCCCGCCCAGCCTCGCCTCGCCTCGCCTCGCCTCGCCTCGCCTGCCTCCCTCCCCAGCCCTGCTGCACAGGCGGCTGGGCTGCAGGGCTCTGCCCATTTCCTCTGCCTGAGCAGAACCGAGCTGTCCGCAGACAGGGACTTTCCACTCTGAACAAAACAGACTGCGCTTGCTCACTGGCTCCAAGATCTGCATTTAGGTTAAGGGGACCGAGGGGAACCTCCGCCAAGTGAGGGTGTGGAGGCAGGGACGGGCAGATCTGTGTGGGTGTGGAGGGAAATGCAGATTTCCTTCCAAGGCCAGCGCTTTCAAAGGGGCCGGTTCCCACCCCCCTTCCCCCGGCCCCAACCGGCCCCACACCCTGCTTCCCTCTGAAGCTGTGGGCAGGCTCCAGCTGAGGCCCTTCAGGGAAGGCCAGTGCAAGGCAGCCCACACCCTTCATGGGTTAAAGACCTCCAGAGCCCCAGACAGTTGGGTAAACCTTCAAACCCAAGCATTTTCCCTGGGAAAAAAAAAGGAGGGGAAGGAGGCCAGCCGTGAATCAGCAAAGGTCCTCAGGGGTGGGTGCAGCAGGGCAGGCAGGAGAAAAGCCAGAACTCTCCCACAGCACCTCCCGCAAGCCAGGGCACCCAGGATGCCACAAGGCAAGAGCCCGAGCCCTGTCCTTCCCCCTCCCTGAACAAAGGCCCCAGCTCCAGCCCCACCCCAAACCTGAAAAGCTTCACCGACTGCCTTGACCTTGGGGTTCTCTTCCCTCCGGAGCCGCAGTGACTCTTGGTTCAAGTTTCCCCAGCCTTTGTTTGCTTGTTTGCGCTGGAAGTTGTCCGCGGCTACGTGGACTTTCTACCTCTGAAATTTCGAATGTACTGCCCAGGTGCAGATGTCCCCAAAGCCCCTGGGCTGCGAAAGCCTGCTCCAGAGCCCCCGGAGGAGCAGCAGGCAGGCGAGTGTGCTCCGTCCCCAGCCCTACAGCGCAGCCCAGTCCCGGCTTCCTGTGCCTGTGAACAATGCTACTGCGTCACTCACATGCAGCTCCCAGAAATGCTTTGCAACGGAAGATGGCAGGAGAGAGAGAGAGAGAGAGAGAGAGAGAGAGAGAGAGAGAGAGGAGAGAGAGAGAGAGGGAGAGAGAGAGAGAGAGAGAAAGAGAGAGAGGAGGGAGAGGAGAGAGAGAAAGAGAAAAAGAAAAAGAGAGGGAGGGAGGAGGAAAGAGAGGGGGAGGGGAAAAAGGGGAGTCAGAGGTGAGGGACACAGGGGAAAAGAAAGGTGGAGAGGGGAAAAAGAGAGCGAAGAGAAGAGAGAGAAGAGGACAGGAGAGAAGGGAAAAGAGACAGGAAGAAGGGAAAGAGAGAAAGAGAAAAGAGGCAGGAGAAAAGAAGGGAGAGAAAAAGATAGAGAGAGGGAAAGGGGGGCCGCGGGTGTGGAGAGCAGCAAAGCCAGGAGGGCCCAGGCGTTCTGCTGCAGAGCTGGGAGGGGGCGTGTTCTCGGACCACTCTCTGCTCTGTCATTGGTGGAAACTCCTGGCCTAGGAGGCGAACTCCTTCACCAGCCCCAGCAGCTCCCTCCCACCACCACTGCAATAGGAGAACCCTGGGCCAGCCCCCTGAGGGCTTGATGTGGCAGCCTTTCAAGGCGCCAGAGAAAGGACAAGGCTTTAACCCATTCTGCTGCATGTGTAAAACCTGCCCCACATTTGTCCTTGTCTTACACACGCATGCACCCCCCCATACACGCACACACACAGAGGCACGCTTTTTTACAAGCGTGCACCCACCCCCTCTTCCCTACCATGTCACCCCGTATTGTTCGAGCCACTGCCTGGTGGGCTGCGCCCTGCCTGTGCGCCTCCCCCCACCAAGCCACACAATAAACAGTCTTAAAATACTTTGGACTGGGCCTGTGTGCGGCTTCACCTATGGTGATCTGGCCTCCCTGCTTCTTGCGCTCAGGGCCAGCCCCAGCCCTTCCGACCCACAAATAACCAGTGCCTGTTCCTCCAGAAACACCCAGGTTCCAGTACAGACCGACTTCAATGTGCGTAGTGGGGGAGATCCCATAAAAGACACACCTTTGGGCCAGAAACTAATGATGTCCACACTCAATTCCTTCGGTCCCTTCCAGCTCCCAGGTGCTAGGATTCTGAGCTCGCTCTTCCTGACAACTCGTGGTTTCCTCATTTCTATCACAGTAATGAAACTCAAGGAGCTTAGGAGAGAGAGTCATGGCTGTCACGCTCAAAACTGTCTCTACTATGTCTCTATCCAGGCGTCTTTCCTCCCTGATCCAATCTCATGTCTTCGACTTTATCCTTTCCCATCACCACACGACGCATTTCCCGTTCTGCCTCAAAGCCGACAGTCTCTCTGTTCCCACAGTCCCTTGGGGGCGCTCGTTCTGCAGCCATCAGCTGCGTGGATGCCAGGAGACGTCCCACCACCACTGTTGCCAAGGCCCAGGCCAAAGCTTTAAAGTTGTTTATTTTGTTGCTCCCGAGAGGTGAAGACTGAAATGCCAATCTGGTTCTGTGAGATTCACAGTGGACTGGCGCTCTCATAGGGAGCGCCTTACTAAGGACCTACTGTGTGCCAGGCATCATCCTAAGCCAACAGACTCTTGAATAATTAAATGCTTGCTTCAAAAAGTATTGGCCGTGCTTTTAAAGCTGCCTACAGAAGAGATCTGGTTCTCTCCAAAGAATGGTTTAAAGGACTGCAATTTCTGCGCGCATTACGTATGTGCAAAGCGGGGAGGGGGCGTCCTCGTCGGCCCATAAGCTATCTGGGATCGGGGTAGGTCCCGTAGACACTAATTTCCCCAGCGGTTTACTAAGGTAGAACAATTGGGCCTTCTTCCTATTATTCCTATCATTCTCCTAAGCCTCTCTGGAGGGCCCAAAATTTCAAGAGTTCTCAGTTTGTACTTAAAATATTTTGACAGGATCACAGGACAACAGACACCATGGAGGTCATCTAGTCCAAATGCTTCAGTTTACACTTTCAAACGTCTAAGTCACTTGGGGGTCTAGCGGGCCCATGGAAGCATAACTTTAAAAATGTATTCTGAGCATCAGGTCCAAGTCTAAGCAGGCATGAGCACTCTTGGAGGTTACCACAAGGAGAGCAGAGAGCCCAGAGGGGCACAGGGAGCCGGAAGCTCCTCTACATGAGTCACTGGTTTGTGTATGCTGCTCAAGGGCGTGGTGAGTTTTGTCTTCTCACCAACCTCAAATACAAGATGGATGACAAAATACTTTTGCAAATTAGTTAGAACAAAGTGAAAAGAGTGGGTTAGAAGGACCTGGGTTCCAATCCAGTCCTGCCCGAGAAGGCTCAGACCCATCTCGACTCCTCCCTCCCCACCTATCGAAGCAGAGGCGCAGACCAGCAGACCCCCAGGGTCCCTTCCCACTTAAAATCCCCTGATGTTGATTACTCCTCCACGCGATGGTCAGCAAGCACAACGAAGCGCACAGCACCCTCTCTCCCAAGAGACCAAGCCCCCAAGCCCAGGGTAGCACCCTCCCACACCCCCAAGACGTCAGCTGCAGGACCACGGGACTGCACACGCCCACAGCCGAGGAGGAACTGAGCACCGCCTCAAGTTACTGAAGTCTGACTATACTTACAGGAGGGCCCACGGGGAAGGAATTACTGATAAATGGAATACGTCGTCATCTGTATCAGTTCTGCTTTGCAGCAACGGGTCGAAATGGTCTTACCTGTTCATCCTTGGTTTCACCAGAACCTGCATTTAAAGCTGGAAGGCCTTAGAGACAACCTAGTTTCAGCTCCCACTTACAGATGAGGAAATGTAAGGTCTAGAGAAGGCAAGCCAGGTAGGCAGGAGGTACCGGAATGAAAAGGAAAGGAGCAAGCATTTATTAAGCACCTACTATGTGCTAAGCCACCTCTCATTCGGTCAGAACACAAACTTTGGCCCCCGACTCCAAGGCCAGCCCCCTAGCATCCCCACGTGTAACCTTTCTGGGGTGGCAGGGAAGCCTCCAATGCCAGAAGGGGAGCAGTGCAGAATCCCTACCTGGGGGGCACTAAGTCTGTTCCTGCAGGATCCAACACCCTTCTTCTACAGCCTTCCATTTGTCGAATATGACTAATATTTTCATACCTGTGTTAGATTTAAATGCTAGCAGGAACCTGACACCCAGTAAGAGCCAAATCTGGAGGCTGGAGCACAACTGCTGGGTCGCAATGAGACTGTCCCCAGAGAGAGGAATCAAAGAGAACATGCCAAGGGGCCCTCTGAAGCCTCCCCCTGCCCATGCCCCGGAGTCACCTTCCAACTGCTCTTCCTGCCTCGGCCTTGCCCACTTCCTGCCGTTTTACTCCACACCATTTCTGGCCCTGATCTTCTGACACCTGTGCTTGCTACATGACAGACACCAGCACCTGGGAATTCTTCATCCAGTCTTTCATGCTTCCTCCACTGAGAGCTAGCAGGGCCCCTGCCAACTTCCTGGGATGCCCTTTCCTGGCTTTTTGTGAACCATGGTCACACATCTCTACGTGGCCTCCCTTGATCTCAACATAACCTTCTTGTCTTGTTTCTATGACTCTTAACCCCTCTGGACATATTAGGTAAAGGAACATGTAGTTATGATTTAGAGCTGGAAGAGGGCTTTGAGATCAAGTGGTCCTACTCCTTATTTTACAGATAAGGAAACTGAGGCCCAGAGAGATTCTTATGATAGACCTCAACACCAGCTTTTCAGGGACTAGCAATGATGACTCATGACTACACTGATGACCCACTCAAGGGATTTCACTAACTCTGAAAAAATAAAACAAAACCCAATAAAACATGTCATGAGCCATTCTTTTCTTACAGGAGATTATAAAACTAGTTTTCCTTTCCTCCTGATTTACTTCAATAGATCCCTTTAACATTCTAAGGGAGGGCAGTGACTGTGCAAGAAAAGTTTATCTGAATCCACAGAATCCAAGAGTTAAAAAACCTAATGGCAGGCAGGCCCAAAGGGCTTGTGAGACAGAAATTGAGAAATTTTACCCAGAAGTTAGAAGAACAATCTCTGAAGGTTACATGGGCACACACAACGTCCACACGGCTACAAGAAGCCAATGTGGTCACGTCCTAGAGAGCACAGCGGGAAATCCACCGTCAGAGCACGGCTTTGCAGCTATGCTGAGAACATTGGACAAGGGACCACCTGAGAGGGACTGGGCCTAACAAAACAAAGTGGGTGAACCAGAAAGCCTCAGGCACCCTCCTCTCTCCAAATTCCCTGCTAAGATTACCACACAGCCCCAACACCTCCAGATTATACAGACGACCCACCATGAGAATGTACTGATTTCCTAAAGTTCAGGTCTGACCATGTGACTCCCCTACTCAATCAATTCTAGTGGCTCCCTATTAAGGTCAGGATGAAATATAAAATCCTCTGTTTGGCTTTGAAAGCTCTTCACCACCTGGGCTGCCCCTACCCCACCAGACTTCTTCCTCCTTACTCTCCAGTGACTCTGGCCTCCCTGATGGGCCTCAAACAAGACACTCCATTTTCTGACTCTGTGTCCTTTTGCCTGGAATGTTCTTCTTCCTCATCTCTACCTCCTGGATTCCTGCCAGTCTCAGTTCAAATCCCCCCTTCTGCAAAAAGCCTTTCCTGGCCCCTCTCAATGCCAGGGCCTTCCCTCTAAGGCTGCCTCCACTTGCCTTGCACAGATGTCCTGTGTGCTCAGGTGTCTGCGTGCTGTGTCCTCTCACGATAAAGGGAAGGAGGGCCCAGGCTGCTTTTGCCTTTCTGCGGATGCCCAGTACTTAGCACGGTGCCTGGCACACAGTAAGTGCTTAGTAAGTGCTGGCTGCCCCAAGAAGTGATGAACACAAAGAACAGGAAGCAGGGTGCAGAATCATATTAGCTTGGTAAAATATAGTTAAGTTAGTTACAATAATGAAACCAGGAATTGACCTCAAAAGAATCTTCTCAATCCCTTTTTACCCATAACTCAAGCTGTGTGGAATTCTGCAGGCTCTTTTCCCAATGTCAAGCTGACACTCTGCATTCCTAAACACCAAAATTCCCATCTCTCAGATTTTGTTTTTCTACCACCCCCTGATGCCAAGATTACCTAGCTTTTGCAGATGCTCTCAGCACCAGGACATTTGGGTCCCTTCTGATCCCCAAACCCTTCTACATGTCCAGATGTTTCCCCTCCTGAAATGAGGACCAGGCCCTTCTGACTTGAACCTCTGCCACATGTCTTTGTTCTCTGGCCACTCAGCCTGTCTCTGCCTTCTCAACTTCACCCATAGGTTATGAAATGAAATTACGTTCCACTCCTCAGTGGAGGGGGGACACAGATGCCATCCCTAAGCTGGCAGAGGAGATGGCAGAAGATAGGAGGTCTTTTAGTACAGACGGCCAAAAAAAAAACAATCTGAAGCCGAAGATGAAAAAGTACTAATTAGGAAATTTTAGTCTACCTCGCTTTAGTCCAGTGTAAAAGTTCTCTCTTCTAATAAGTTCTTACACAGTTGAAAAGATCTACAGGACAGAGATTTACCACACTTATTAGAAACTGGAAAGGAATTTCTACAGATTTCTTTTCCTTTGCATAGGTATTCATATGTTCATATTTTTTCTGGGATAACTTTTAAAGATTTCTTGAGGCTTTGGTGTTCACATAATGAAAGTATTTACTTAAAAAAAAAAGACTGAGTTTCAGATTACTCAGATATTCCTAGGAAAATTTCCTTTTTTTGGGAGATGGATGTAAATGAGAACATGTGAGATAGGCCAAAGGATTCCAAATACAGAAGAGTGTACCAAATATACCACCTAAGGAACCTTGACACTGTGTTAAGATGGGTTATAACTTACTATAACCTTGTCCACTTGAAAATATCAACAAATACTCAAGTTTTATGAGTAGGTAAGGTTAGAAGCAATCAAACGAGATTTATTCTTGATGGTGACCCAAGAAAACGTAGAACAATCCCCTTCAACAGGCCCGGAGAAAATGTCAAGAGTCCTCCAGAGAATCCATAGAGACTCATAGGAGGTAGGGAGGTGAGTGGACACTACAGAGGAATGAAATAAGCCCCTTTCTTCAAGGGGAAATCAAGGGGAATCTCTTCCTGAGATAGTGGGGAGGTTCCCAGAAATGTTTCTCCGGATGAATGAGGGCCTGTTTTATTAGGGTAGTCTGAAATACCAACTTAAATTTGAGTCTTCAGAATTCTGGTTTTCAGAAAGGGCCTGAGGTCCTTTTGCCAGGGTTAATGAAGAGGAGAGAACATTATCCCTTTCTGGTCTTCAAGCATGCCATGAGCACTGACTGATTCCAAGACAGACACTGCTCTGACCCACAATATCACACCTAGGGCTAGGCTCATTTCAAGGTCAAAGTGACAATTCTGACACTTCCATTACTTTTCCCCATTTGCTAGAAGCACACACACACACACACACACACACAATGGTGACTGGAGTCACACATGTGGCTCAGGTTTAGTACAGCTCTTCATTTCCTGATAAAATTCTCAACAGCTAAATTGTACCAGCAGATGAACCTGTCACAATTTCTTGGAAAAGGAGTAACTTTTTAACTTTAACCTGAAATCCAGTCTCTTTCTTTTAATGGCTACTGTTTTTCAAATAGATTTTTTGAAATGAAATCTTACCTAACAGATTTCAAATAAAAACTTCCCTCACAAAGCATGCAATCTTTTTGGGGACCAAGGGTGACAAGGCAGGGATAGACAGACCAAGCCTTCCCTCAGTCTCACCCACAAGCTGCTCACCAGACTTTCCACATCAACAAGGTCTAAAAGCACCTGCAGGAGTCGGCAGAGTCACAGAAAGATGCTATGAGTACAACGGTATCAGAGAAAACCGGAAACACTCAAAATCCCGTGTGACCCCCGGTGCTCAAAACCACCCCCCTCCACCCCTCCTCCCCCACCGGCCCAGAAGCCAAGCACCACCACTGGCTCTCCGCCTGTTATGCCGGGCAGATGAGGGGCCTCACCTTGACATCAGCAATGAGAGCATCTTCATCTTCGATCCCCGTTGGGACACACTTCTTGTGTAATGGCAGTGACTCTAGCTTATCCACAAGGCACCGGAGACCTTCCAGCTCAAAATGAGTTAGGTGAATCTGCTTGTCCTTCCGGGGGCTACACTGAGGATCCCACACTTGACCGTTGTGGGAGCTCCGGCCAGACTCTGAGGACGAGTCCACCGACAAGGTTCTCTTTAGCCCTTGCAGGTTCCTGCAGGTTTTGCCCAGCCCGTCATAATCCACGTTGACGCCATTGGCCACGGGGCTGGTGAGGATGGAGCGTCGGCTGCTCAGGCGCCTCGGCTCCTTCTCTGAAGCCTCCTCATCTACGCTTCCAGACTCCAAACCATTTAACTCCAAATCTGCAGAGGCAGAGAAGAAAACCAAATAAGACTATAAGATAGCGCCCCAGGGATCCCACGTAAAAGTTGACCTGGGAAGTTCACATTTGGGGACAAAATGAGTCGGGTAGGTCAATCTATGTTAAAATTTAAACTCTCTTTTCAGAATTCCACAGCATGTGAGTTGGAAGGGACCGTCAAGGTCAGCTACGGCCCCCTGTACCTGCGCAGGAATGTGCTGGTAAGTGGCCAGGTTTAGGAAGAAGGAAGGTGCGGGCTGTGCCAATCAAACGTTACGCCAGACTAACAAGCTTTCAAAGCTAAAAACCACACTAAGACTTTTGGGACACCACACACACACAGAGTTTACAGCCATAAATACATGCATGTCATATGCACAATGTACACATATTATGCACATGATACATATTCAAATGTAAGACAGTTTGGGAGTAATATTTATCAACCAAAGTTAATGTGCACGTGCACACAGGCATAACAGAATGTGTGTATAATACAGCACTGTGATATGCATACATGCCGTTACTACATACAGACATGCACATTGTTTTTCTGAATTTTTTATTTTTCCAAGTTCCATGTAAAAACAACTCCAAAAGCATTTTTGTCTTTAAATTCTGAGTTCCCGACTCTCTCTGCCCTCCCTCAAGGGTGAGCAGTCTAACACGATGCAAGCTCTGACATCTTCGCTCACTTGCTGCTGCACTAAGGTCTAAGCTTGCCGGCAGCAGGGATCAGCTCAGTCTCTGCACTTGGATCCCCCGGGCCTTGCACACAGCAGGTGCCTCATAAATGCTTGCTGACTGACTGACGTCCACCAACAGGAAAGGCAGGCACTAAGCACCTCCCTGCAGCAGCCCGGGTCTTTCAGCCTCCTGCAGGAAACGCTGCCAGCTTCCACCGGGGGCTCCTCGCTCTGCCTCCGGGGCCAAGCAAGCTGATTCTCACTCCCCCCCATCCCCCCGGACGGGCCTGCAGAGAGCCACCGTGCTCTGCCTGCAAGCTCTTCTCTGGGCTAGACACTGCCAGGGCCGTCAACCGATGCTTGCCGGGTGCAGCTGCCAGGCCTTTGCCCACCACAGCTGGCCTTCTGACCGGCCAAGTCAGCACTCAACGCCATGGACTCCAAGCCTCCCACCAGGCACGAGGAGCATTCGGGTGGCTGCGCTGACTTGCGCTGAACTGTACTTTGCTCAAGTTCACCACATCTTTTTCACACGACCTGCCGGAAGTAGGGCTGGATGCCTAGAGGCAGCTGGTGATGCAGTGGGTAGAGCCCTAGGCCTGGAGCCAGGAAGACCTGAGTGCAAATCCAATCTCAGATACTTATTAGCTGAGTGACCCTAGGCAAGTCATTTACCCTCTGCTTGCCTCAGTTTCCTCAATTGTAAAATGGGGATAATAAGAGGACCCACCTCCCAGCATTGCGGTGAGGATCAAATGATGTAACTCTAAAGCGCTTCGCACAACAGTTGGCACACACTGTCCTAGCAATGCGAGCTAGTGATACGTTTTTCTTATTATTACCGTTTGCCAGCTTTCACTGCGTTTGAGACCAATGTCACGAGATTAAGCTTTTACATCTATCCCCATTTAATTTCATCTTGGACCCTTCTGAGACGAGAGAACCTTCCAGGCCTGGAGGCCCATTAGCCACAACCCTTTGGGATTCCCACAACGAAAAAATCTTTGGCAACTGCCTTGTTAAAAACCCAGAAATGCGGGTAGCTAGGTGGTGCAGCGGATTGAGCCCCGGCCCTGGCGTCAGGAGGAGCTGAGTGCAAAGCCAGCCTCAGACCAGACACTTGACGTGTACTGACTGTGTGACCCCTGGGCATGTCACTTAACCCCATTGCCTAACAAAAAACAAACAAACAAACAAATAAATAAATAACATGAAAAATAAAATAAAATAAAAAACCCAGGATCACTGCGTTTTCCATGTATATGCCACTGCCTGGATCTTCTGGCTTTATAAACCCGATCAAAAATGGAAAAGATTATCTGGAATAATCTTCTTCTTGATTAACATAGGCTGGCTCTTGACAATCACCAGCCCTCTTTCGAAATGCTCACAGACTATATCCTGTAACATTCAAGAGTTCTGTCACAAAGTAAAGCTCACTGGTCCACAATTTGAAGAATTTACCTCTTCAATTTGTTTCTGTTATGTGTCTGAGGCCAGATTTGAACTCAGGTCTCCCTGAATCCAAGGCCAGTGCTCCATCCACTGCGCCACCTTGCCGCCCCCACCTTCTTCAATCTGAAATGCTGGAATGCTTGGCTGACCTTCAGGCCTGCGGTACTCTTCCCATTTTTCAAGGCCACCCCCAGCAGTGCTTGGGATGCGCTTTGTCTAGCACCAGTAAACAACTCCTGGAAGGCTGCTGGCCGTTTCTTCTCTTGTCCTAGCCCTCTGCCAGTCATTTCTGTCCTACCTGTCCCAATCTGAAAACTGACTTCTTGTTATGACACTGAGGAAATGTTTCTCTAGAGCCCATAAAAGCTCCCAAAGAAATGAAGCTGATTTCTGGCAACATTCTAGCACACCCCACTGCACAGAACTTTGTTTGCTTTTCTCCTGCCCCCTCACACTCCTGGATCTGCTTTCCTCTTTCCACTGAGGGACACTAGGACCACCCATGACCACCGCTGAGCCTTGCTCATGGCACTGTGTGGTGCCAAAGGGGCTTGTAGGCCCAGAAGCATTTATTAAGCACCTACCTTGTACCAGGAAGTATGCCTGGTCTTGGGGATGCAAATATGATGAATGGGATAGTCCTCGCCCCTAAGTGTGAGGCAGGAAAATCTGAGGAGAGCTAACTCTTTTGGTAATAAATAACTGATCCATAGTTGTATAATCTGAGAAAAAAAGGATGAGCCAAAGACTTCAAGAAAGACACAGACTTGGTATATGAATTCTGTGACAAGACAGGGAAGCTCTTAGGAGTCAGAAGGAAGTGAAGCGTTTTGATGAAGGATGGATGTTTTGTAATGGGTCGTGTAAACGCTAGGAGAGATAGTGTGGCAGAGACGAGGTGCCCCTGGCACGGATAGGCCTTGGGACTCTGGACAAGCCTCACAAACCTGAGGAACAGCGACTGGCCACCCGTGGAGCGAGACCACAGGTCTGTTCCCCAAAAGAGTAGGAAAATGCCGAGACAATGTGCCTGTAAGGTGGAAATTCCACGGGGGAAAAAATTTGTCCTTCCAATATTATAGTGTTGGCTTCTCTATCTCTTGAGATGCTGAATAGCCTAGAGAATGTATTCTTTAGGTAATGACACAGACCAGACTTGACATCCAGAGACCAATACGGGCCCCACCCCCCACCTTTCCAATAAGCCTCCAGGACAGCATGCCCCGCTGTTCGGGACAGCCTGGAAGTGCTCCACAGAGCCTACGGTGGGGAGGATCAGATGGGCCGGCACCATCCTCCTGACGCACACAGGAGTCAGACCAGAAATAAAACTCCAGGAAGTGCAATTCTGCATTCCCCCACTCCCTAAAGACTCTGACGAGGGGAGGGAAGGACTTGGTTTCAGACTGGAGAAGACAAAGTCAAGTCAAGTACTCACCCATGCTGAGGGATTCTTTCTGGAAATCCTTGGTCAGGTGGGAGCGGTTGGTGATGCAGTAGACATAGCGTTCTAACACGTACCAACACATCTCGTAGTAGAATGGATAACGGAACTTATTTGGGACCTACATGTGGACAGGGCGACAAGCAGAATAAACTGACACTTCAATTCCAGGGAAACCAATCATTCTGAGTAATATAATTAGCCAAGGTTCCATCATTTTTCTCCCCTGAAAAAAAGTGAGAGGTTTGGACTAGATGGCCTAGCCACCTTCCAGCTAAATTCTCCAATCCCACAGGAGGCTTTTCTAGGGTGGACTGCCCACACACTGAATTAAGTGGCTTGGTCATTCTAGGAAGCTAGCTTTACTGAGAAAACAATCACCACAGAAGCCTGGTGCTCTGAAAGGCAACTCAGAACTAGTACAGAAAACAGGCTGTTAATTCCTGACTCAGTCAAATGAAGAATTAAAAAGAGAAATCTGTGTATATGAAAAATTTTCTGGACTTGGGTTTTTGGGGTAAATCTATTTGACAAAGACAGTTATGATGTCCAATTCAGAAAAACTGTACTGGGACCCATTCACTTAACACAAGAGAATCCCCAGGATCAGATCTGTTCTTGGAGAAGCAGCAGGTAAGCTTCTTAAGGGGCAGGGATCTGTTTGGATGATGTGAAAGTCCAGAGTCCGGCCCATGGTACCCTGCACACAGTAGGTGCCTTGATAAATAAATGGTTGTTGAACAGCACCGAACCCTGACGCACAAAGGAGTGATAGGGCAGGGTCAAATTGTCATGTCAGATGTGGATCTCTGCCCGTAACAAGCTACCTGTACGTGCACAAAGACCAGAAATCTCTGGCTCTAATAAACCATGACTTTCTCCCCACCTCCCCAAGAAGACTGTCCTGCTCTAACTAAACAGCCCAAGCAGTTCCCAGAATGAGAATCAGTGCACATCATGGCTGTGAAGGGAAGCCACCGGCTGTGTCAGGCCGCCGATGGGGTCCAGCAGCAGAACCCGTCCCCCACTGAGTCCACTTCCTGCCATCCTGTGCAACTCAGAATTCAACTACTGACTTGAAAAGCTGTTTTGAATCTAGTCTAGACTCCCTAAGAATGGCCAAATCTCCTTCTGGGTTGAATGGAGAACTCTGTAAGCACAGGGAAAAGCAAGGAGACAGGTGGCCCTTTCCAGGCAGTCGAGGTGATCCCTAGACAAAAAGGAAACTGAGCCAGGACCGTGGAGCCCTAAGAGGAAGGTCCTGCTACAAAGTGCTGTTTGCTTTTCTGCTCTGAGGCTAAGAAAACCCAGAAGAGCCTTCCCAGATCCCACCCCTTCACTTTTAGCTCTGATAAAAAGCACAGGAATGACCAGGAATCAGGAAGGGAGGTTTGTCTCTCTCTACTGGTTAAAGTGACAGTTTCCAAAATCCATTAATTCTTGGACTTTGTTTTAGGGGTCCTAGAGGATATGAGCATTCAACATTCAACTGTTTAATTTGGTGGTCGAGAGAATGATTTGTGATCGAGTTGCCTCACTACGCTGCTTCACAAGTATTGTCAATGCCAGACAGAGGAGCAGTGACAAAGTTCTATGGAAACTGGTAACCTACTAATGAAGAATCTCTTCAGCTCCTGTTCTCCATTAGGGACTTCCACAGCCTCAATTTCAGTGGAGCGAGAGGAAGAGTCATGCCTAGAAGAGCCCTAATGGCGGAGCTGCTCAGGCAGCTCGCTTCTGGACACAGTCTAGGCAAGAACAGCCTGCATTTCGATGGTACTTTGTCCTTTTCAAAGAACCTTTATGCAGAGTGAGTTGCTTTCTCATAAGCTTCACAAAGCAGATTCAAGTCCATTCGAGCCATTATTAAGTGCCTACTGAGGACAAGGCAAAATGCTCAGCACAGGGGACTAAAAGACAAAAACCAAGGTGGGGACAGTCCTCAAAGAGCTGACAGCTATTGGGCAGATATGGAAGGAACAGATGAGCACATGTTGCTCATTCCTGGTCCACAAAGAAGGACATGGAAAACAGCACTAGCTGCCGGGGCTACTGCCCACGGAGGCTTTTGGTACAACCTCTGTACACTGCTGCGGGGAGGAGTGGGCTGGGCCATGCAGAGACGGTCCAATGTGGCAGTCAGCACTAGGAGGGTGTTGGAGAGGGATTTTTATTTACAGATTCTAAGAATGGACCAATGCTCATGAATCTGTCCAGTCAATTAGAAAGTATACTTGAAAACCTTCCAGATTCAAAGGAGGCTCCTGGATTTAGGAATGGTATGGAAAAAAAATAATCGCCTTTCCTCTCAACTGCAATGCCACCGAAACATGTAGAAGTGACTCCTCTCTGAGGCTGGCCAATTAACAATCCAAGAAGCTACAAATTACTGGAGCCTCAACAGAAAAGAACTCTATCACAAATTGGGCCTCTGCTTATAGGATCACGGGGTCCAAATCAGAGCTAAAGGACCTTAGGCCGTTTCGTCCAATCCCTCATTTTAAAGAAGGGGAAACTGAGGCCTGGAGAATGAAAGGGAATTATGATTTAACTTCATTTTTACTATGAAGTGAACTACATATTTTCTATTGCAAATCACTGGCCTCCACAGCTTCGCCGCCATCTTGTTTGTATTTTTTGTAATTTCTTTCATCATGACTTAAATGGATTACTGCTGCTTAACTTCAGGAACATTTGCGACTTCAACTCTGCTTCCCATCACGTCTGAATCCTACGAAGAACAGGAAGTTCTTCGCCAGCATCAGTGCGGCAGCAACACAATGAGCTAGCTTCTGTATTCAGGGTGAACAAACGCATTCAGTTTATTTAGGATTCTGTCTCAGTCTGTACAAACTTGTCAGTGAATATGATACAAAGTCAGATCCTGGATGAAGAGGCACAGAACCGGTAAAGCGACTAGGGAATGTAACAGGCACACAAGTTCAAGGATGTAAAACTCAAGCTGTCAAACTACTGGAACAATGAAGATAATTTTTTAAAAATTCAAATACTGTTTACTAGCAATTTATAGAAAAATGAAAGATTCAGAGGATAAAGATGACATGAGAAAAGAAAATGGCCTAAAAGTGACCCAAAAGATTGCTAGCTGTTCACTGCTAGGAAGGACCTGAAAACAAAGCAAGGACACATGGGTCTGGCTAAAATGCTGAACCTTGGGGGTGGCTAGGTGGCGCAGTGGCTAGAGCACCGGCCCTGAAGTCAGGAGGACCTGAGTTCAAATCCGGCCTCAGACCAAACACTTGACACTTACTAGCTGTGTGACCCTAGGCAAATCACTTAACCCCAACTGCCTAAAAAGGAAAAAAAATGCTCAGCCTTCTTTGCTTTTTCCTAGGTGCTAAGATGAAAACTGATATCCACATTTTGTCCCAAAATAAACTAAAGACCTGAGAGTAAAAGGTTCACAAATCTTTAGTCACTGCTACTTACCCGTGTCCGATCTTCAATGTTGTAGATTTTGAGCTGCATGGGGATGTTAAAACTGTGCAAAAAGTTGCCCCCAAACACTAATGTGTCTGTAGGGGTGTACACTGCATGAATCCAGCCTAAAGAGGTAGGAGAACCAACAAGGTCTCAAGTTAGAGAAGGATTCTCTTGGAGAAGACATGACAAGCTCTCCCCCCATCCTAGCCCACTCTTCTTCACCGTGCTCCTCCATCCTTCCTCCTGAGTGAGCCCTACTCCATCCTCAGCAGTTCTTAGGAGGGGTGGAAGAAACGAGAACCACCCTTCTACCACCCCCCACGCCCCAAACTGCTACACACCACGCTCAGGAGGGCCAAAGCCGTGGATACGTCTCGAACACCTGGCTCAATGCCAACACCCGAGTTCAGGACTCACTACCACTTCCCTGGAAACCTTCAACAGCTCCTTTCAAGGTTTGCCCCATGCTTTTTCTCCCTCAAAAATGCCTGTCACACACTTCCTGAAGAATCTTTCTGTCCAAAAAGACCCGGCCAAGTCACTCCTCTGCCCAACAGGCTTCATAGGCTCCCGAAGGCCTATCCTGAGTCCAGTTCAGACTCCTGTGCCTGGCCTCTGTGCCCCATCTCCTCTCCTCATACAATCCACAAACCAGCCAGATGGCAAAGCTAAGCCTCCTACACACATCCACCTCGAGGCACTTTTGTAGGTAGTTTCTGCCGACTAGAAGGCCTCTCCCCAGCCCATCTTCCCCTGAACTGCCTCTGCCCATCCTTTAAAGGCCAACTACAGGACGGCCTCCTCTGGAAAGTCGTCTTCTTCTTCTTCCCTTGGTTTGTAGTAAGTTCCTGCTTCAAAACCTCAAGTGGCAATTTGTTTTGTAAATCTCTACTACCCTTATCAAGTCATGATGGGAGTGAACGAATGGGAAAACGTTTAGTAAGCGCTTGCTATGTGCTTTATTATGTGGTTTATCCTCCAAGGTCTCAAGCCCCGGCTCTGTAGAAGGCTAGAGTAGAAACGATGAGCATTTCCACACCCCTTGGCCCAGTGGGCTCACTACGGGCACTCTGCCCTAAGGACATTGCTGGCAGGAAAGACATACCCAGCTGTGCAGAAATATTCCTAACGGCAAAAAGACAGGAAGCCAATTGGATGTTCACAGAGTGGGGAATGGTGAATGTAGCTAATGGAATATAACTGTGCTCTAAGAAGTGATGCTGGGCGTGGTTTCACAGAAACCTAGGAAAACTCAGAGGAACTGAGAGCGTGAAATGGTACAAGCGGGAGAACAGTCTATGCAGTAACAGCACCACAAAGACCAGCAGCTCTGGAAAGCTTCAGAAGCACGGCCACCCACACCTGCAGGGGATTCACGACGAGACACAGGCCCACTTCCTGACACACACGGGCAGACCGACACTCCCATCTTGGGGGCACAGCGAAGGATGGGGGGAACTGGTTTTGTTTGACAACGTACTTTTATTGAGTGTTTTTTTGCTTTTCCTTTCCTTTTCAATGGAAAGAGGGATAGAGGGAGAGAAGGTGGAGTTTTTAAGATTAAAAAAATAAAATGAGAACCACTTAAAAATGAACTATGACATACTAATGAAATGTAATTACTGCACCAGAGGAAACAATGAATTGGAAGAATTTAAAGAAGGCAGAATCAGACGAACATCAGATACACTGACTACTGCCGTGCAGTTAAGAGAACAGCACAAAGAATTTACTGTGTACCCATCCTCAACAAGGCCCAGGAGGCTCGGAAGAACAGGGATGATGCAGTCAGCATGTCGTCGGGGACGGGTTAACAAAAGCTAAATAACGGAGGTGATGGGAATGTGTGGGTCAGTGGCAGTCAACCCATTTCCACAGGCCTCAGGACCTATCAGTCAATGCTGCCTCCTCAGTCATCTCTCACTGCACGTACTCGATAGCTCTGGGCTCAAGGGAAGGTGGCGGCGGCTCCGCCCACTTTGCTTACCTGAGGGAATAACAAAGGTGTACCCCTGCTTGAGCTCGATGCGCTGGCACTCTGACACACGGTCACCCAGGAAGATGTCGCCCTGTTTCCCCGACAGCAGCCAATTCTCGTACAGTTCCAGGTTTTGGGCCGTAGGTGGTATGAGCCAGAAGACCTGGGAGAGGAAAACTTCAGTCCATAAACAGTCATTGATAGGACCCTTGATACTCACTCCCTAGATGAGGTAATGGTCGCTCGGGTTCAAGACCCTTCATTTTAAAAGGTGCAGCTTTTCAACCCAAGACTACTTTTTTCTGCCATGGCACCCTCTAGTTCACTTCTAGCAGAGGACAGAATGAGGCCATAAGCCTTTAGTAGCATGACTGCATCTCAGACCTAGGACTGGAAGGGACTTCCAAGGCTATTGAGTCAAACTGAGGCCCAGGAGGTGAAGTGACTTGGCCAGTGTTCCCTCAGAAGAGGGCACCAGAGAAGGACTCTCCCCATCGCCTGTCTTCACTTCGCATCAGCATGCTGGGCCACAGGGAGAGGCCAGACCCTGGGATCACTGTGGGTGACTGCCAATCTTTGAAAAACGGACAGAAGAGCCGCAGATCGGGCCAAGTTTCAGATGCATGCTTCTACAGTCCAGAGGTGAATATAAGTTTGAGTTGACTGCATTTATCAATTGCTTTCAGCTTCCGGTGCAATAGAAGCTCCTTGAGAGCAGGGACTTCATTTATCTCTCTGCCCCTGCTGCTTAATACACTCTTTTTTCTCAGTAACTTCTAGCCTTAAGAGAGCTGAAGCATGGGGTAGCTAGGTGGTGCAGTGAATAGAGCACTGGCCCTGGAGTCAGGAAGACCTGAGTTTAAATCCAGCCTCAGACACTTACTAGCTGTGTGATGTTGGGCAAGTCACTTAATCCTGACTGCCTCAGAGAGCACACACGCACAAGAGAGAAAGTGAGCGAGTGCAGGCTAGGGCACTAAGACGTTAAGTTACTTATTTAGGACGTACAGAGGCAGGACGTGAATCGAGGCCTTCTTGACGTGAGCCTTATCTCTTACTCCCTCTGCCACCTGGACTCTCACCTTGCACAAAAGGGGTGTTCAGTGTTTGCTGAATTACGGCAACAGACACAATTGTTCAGCATGTCTCCACCCAGAATGGTTTGGAAACTTCCTCACAGATGTTACTGAGGAAGCTCACTGTACAAGAAAAACTTCCTCTCCCATTCGCAGTCTTTGGTCTTCTGATTTCCTGGGCTGGGGCGGAGAACACCCCAGCAAAGTTGGGGCTCAAGAACCCTTCCAATGTGGGTGGCCCTGTGTGTGCAGTTGCCTAGGGGAATTCCACTCTTCACCAAACTCTCGTAACTCTCTCTACCAAAATAGTTATGCTGGGCATTTATCTTCTAGAACAGCTCAAACGTACCACCATTCAGACTGAATGACATAATCCTTAACCTTCAATCCCACCACAAAGATCTCTCCACAATGGCACTGTACCTTTCCCCCCTGGTGTATGTGGTACCAGACGGATGTGCCGCCGAAATCCACGTGAAAGTCTGTGTAGCAGCCCCGGACGCTCATGAGACAGTACCTGGCCCCAAAGGAGGAGACCCATGAGGACAATGAAAGATGTAAGCGCTCACAAAGCCAACGTGTCAGTAAACTTTGCCAAGCTCATCCTCTATAAAACATGGAGGCTGAAGGCTCAAGAGTCTTCATCTGGATAAAGAACATATACTAAAAATCTAATTTTCCAAAGAGAAGTTTGACTTTTCAATTCAACAAGTCGATAAGAAAAAACCCAAGCATCAGGAAAAGGAAAATACTAAGCTTGGACATGGGTCAATGTATGACGGAGTGGGGATCCTGGAAAAGGTACTTGTCCAGAATAATTAAACCTACAGGACTTAAGAACATAAAAATTCCCAAAGGGGTTTTGTTGGGAGGGAATAAGAAAGCCCTTACACGTGTAAGGAGCGGTTGTTATGGGGGGCTCCTGTCTCCCCTCCCCCAACTACCTTGTATTTATTTTGCATCTTCATACACACCCATATCCACCCCCACCCCAAACGCCTCTCAACAGAATGTAAACTTCTTGACAGGGACTGTGACTTTTCCGTCTGCCTTTCCAGAGCCCAGCATCAGCAGATGCTCAATAAATGCCTATTGATTACTGACCCCCTTTCCTCAGTTTGGCCCCTGCCCCACAGTCCTCGGTCACAGCTGCTGTAGGGGTTCCTGATGGCCATGCCATCCTCACCACTCCATGTTCTCACTCTGAGTGGGAAGAAAGTTGAGTCTGTATGTGACTCAACAGCCAGACAGAGAGCTTTCTTATCTACATAATTTTAGGTTAGATTTTCCTTGAAAATTTAAATCCTCCTTTCTCCATATGACAGAATTCTTCTCTGCCTAGCTTGCTCTGCCTCTAATCATCTGCATGTGTAGCCGGGGGGACATTGCCTTCACTTACTTCTGCACTTTGGGGTACTGCATCTCCAGGATGGCATTGGTGGATTCTGTCTGGCTTTCCTTCAAGTGCCTTGGCCACATGTTGTCTACCCAATCGATAAAGTCCACCTAGAAGAAACAGGGAAAGTTAGGTTAATGTTCACGCCGATTCTCACTCTTTCCTCCCAACAATCCTGGGATGGAGGCAGTAGCTTAAGAGAGAGACTAAGAGACTTGCCTGTGGCCACAAAGCTAGCCAATGTCAGGCCTGGTGTAAAGGCCAAAGGAAATATGACCTCTCTCAAGCCACTTATAATACCTTTGACCCAAAAGTCCATCACAGGAGCCACAAATAAGTAAAATGGTACTTTGTTTAATTTAGGGCAATGGGCAAGTACCAAAGGGCTAACTATGAAATGATAATAAAGACACGGCCTTTCATCAAGGTAATCACAAACACCAAGGCCTCAAAGAAAACCTTCTATGGTGGGGGCCGAGGTCTCAGCTGGCGGAAAAAGCACAGGAAATCCTAATGGTCAAGGTCCCTGAGAACTGTTCAAACAAATCCAAAGGTAAAATTCAAAATACAGAGTGGATTCACAGCAGACATTCTGCATAAGAAAAAATGGTGCCAGTTCTATCTCTGCCACAAGTGAACTGTGTCAGGCTGGCCGAGTCAGAATTGCTCTGGGCTTCAATGTCTTCAACTGCATAAATGGGAGGAGAAAGAGCCTGGAGTAACGGTGAGCAAGCTAGCCTCAGAGTCAGGCAGAGAGCCCCCCAGGTCCAAGGCCTACCTATGCCACCTACTGGGTAGCCACGGCCGTGTCACTTAACCAATCGTGTCCCAAGCAACTCTCCAACACTAGAAACTGCCAAGTAGTTTTTGATCTGAGCTGGTTTTTGAAAAAATTTGTTCTAGGAAAACCCTACTCCAATGAAATGACAGGCCCAGTCAGGTCCAGAGGGACAATGATAATATCAAACAAGATAACAATTGTGAAAATGTTTTGAAAAACATATAGCATTAAATAATTAAGTCAATAATATCATTAATCAAATCCTACTCAAGCCACAAGCCCTTCCAATTTCTTTTATCTTGGCATCCGCTGGGCTTTGGGAATCATTTTGGCACAGAGATTTTTATTAGAATGATATTGGCTGTATTAGGAATATACCTTTATCCTGAAAAAGACTGGAAAACACCCAGGTTTTCAAATGCCATCACATTTCTATTGCAGCCCTTCCCCAAAAGACATATATCTGCTAGGCATCCAGTGGCAGGGTGCTAATTTGGGACAGCACGGGCTGAATCTTCACACGAAGCCTACAAATCCAACCCATCGCTTGCCTGCCCGACTGGACAGGAGCGGATTAAACGGCTTCACAATTCTGTGGTGCGCAGAATGCTAGATCTGACTGCACAGGGTTAGAGACAAACGGTCATTGTGGCAAGCACCTACTGCGTGACCCATCGCGCTGCCAGGTACCATCTTTGCGCAGCACGCTGAGGGGCCACCCCAGCAGACCGAGCCCAGAGAACCAGCCAGACTAAAAGCGCCCGTGCAGAAGACCCTGTCAAGGATTTCTTAAGGTCATGAAGAAAAGGATGGTCACTACAGGGCTGGAGAAGGAAAAACGACACTGTCCTCACTTTGAAAAAAGGAAAGTGTTTGGCACGTGTAAGCAAACTGTCTGTAGATGAGTCTGACTTTAATTCCTGCCAGATTCTAGGCCCATATCCTAAAGAGCTGGTTAGTGATCACTTAGAAAAGAAGGTGGCAATAATCCCACGGAGCCAGCATGACTTATAAAGGGCAGGCCTCCCAAACCTGGTTTCCTATTTTAAAAGGATTAGAGAACTGACAGATCAGTGAATGCTCTAGATAAAGTTCACCCAGATTTGTTTAAAAAGCATTTTGAGCTTTTCTTGTAAGAAAGAGGTGGACTTGATGGCACAACTGGATAGAATGGCCAAATCCAAGGACTTTGGCGTAAACGTAGCAAGAAGTCTCCAAGGACTCCCTTGGCCCTGGGTTATGTTGTTTTTTGGTCAGTGACTTGGATAAAAGCTTATCAAATCTGCCCACTTGGGATGAACAGCTAACCCAATGGATGGCAGACAGAGGATAAATCCACAAAGACGAATTTCAACAGGCATGGAAATTAAGTCAGACACTTAGGTTTGGGGGAAAAAAAAGAAACAAAAAAACAAACCAACCTTCACAAGACAGCAGATTGTCTGAGGCAGGTGGTATGTGTCTGAGTGAACTACAAGGTCAATGAGTAAATCACGGGAAGGGATGGAAGAAAACTGCATTAAGAGAGGCAAAGCTTACAGAAGGGAGGGTGTGGGTGACACAGGCCTGGGGACAGTGTCCCTGTCTCCATTCTGGTCTCAATCAGGCTTGGTGCTACATGCACATCTGGGGGCCCCAGCTCATGAAGGCCACTGATAAGCCGGAAAACATAAAGACAAATGAAACCTGGAAGAGTCTTGGGTCCCCACCACCTAAGGATCAGTGCAAGGAACAGGGCTGTTCACCCTGAGGAAGAGACGATTCAGGGAGACAAGTGTTTGGAAAGCTAACCTGAGGACAGGCAGTGCTGGCCTTCACTCTGCTTGGTCCTAAACGATGGATCCATAAGCACTGAAGCTAACTGGGACAATGTTAGGAGCTGTCCAAAAAGCAAAACGGGCGGGCTCAGGAGACAGTGAACACCTGTTATTTGAGGGTTCCAAGGAAAAGCTGGATGACCACTAGCTGGATAATGGCATCGATGCCTGCCGAGGTCCCACTCATATCTTAAATTCTGTGCTTCTGTATTTCAGGTAGCCAATGGCATTTATTGAGAACCCAACTGTTGGTAAAGTATTAGATTATCCCCCAAATTCCCTTTTCCTCAAAACTGTTTCC